TATTGCTATGGTTTAATTTCCAAGTTTGAGGTCCACAGCAACTGAAAGATTGCAATCAAACCCTAAATAGTCACGATCGGAGAAGACGATAATATTATTGTTATTCAGCAGTGGTAATAATGAGATGGTTAAGTGGTTAAATGCAATTAGCAAAAATTACATACTTTCCCGTACTCCCAAAAATCCAACATCTTTCAAGAATAATCGAAAAAATTACTTGAACTCGGCTAATTTGACCGCAGTTGGGCTAGCAATAAAAGATACGAATTTTCTGTCTTTAAACTCTTTACCATTAAAAAAATTATTTGTAAATTTATTGTTTTTCATCCTTTCCATTAAAGAAGTGGCAATTTAACCAATTTCTCTAGCTCAAAATTATAATTCATCGTTGTATTAACTGTGATTGAAAAAATTTTCCAAGAACTTTCAAAATTACTTAAAAATTTACCTTTTGCTTTATCGAAATATTATCAGAATTATCGAGTGACGATGGGTGAGGAGGCAAACTTGTCTGAATATTAAAAATCAATTTAAATTAGTTTTTCTTGAAATTAGTTTTGAAAAAAGATGCAAACGCGTTTATTTAACTGTCATCAACAAATCTTTTGTTGATAACCCACTACAAATTTTCAAAAAAAAAGTATTTTGGATTAGCTTAATAACAAGTAACCTTAGCATTAGAATTTTCCAATGACAAAATATGTGGCGGTGATAATTTTTGCTTGTAACCATCGCAATTATTCGGAATTTTTGAAGCACAGCGTTTATGATAGTTTAATTTACAACCTGAAATTATTGATTGATGATTGCCACAATCAATCAATTAATCAATCGATGATCTTTTTCATTTTTTAAATATTGTTTATTAGCGAAACATATCAATGAAATAAAGTTTGCAGATATGAAAACCTCGACATTTCAGGCCTTGCTTCATCAGTCCAAATAGCATTTCACCGCAAAAATCGCAGAATGTTGGCGATTTAAAGCTATGCACATATAGCGCATGTCTACGCAATAAGCGCCGATGAAATGAGTGAGCTGAAAATGTGAATTTGATTAGCATAAGCCTGAAGAACACAGTTAAAAATATAATTGTTAAATCGGTAGTTATCGGTTTAAAATTACAAAAACAGATATTATCAATTAGTAATTGTTGTATTATAATTTTTATATTTCCTTCTAATAATAGGGCAGATCAATCAATTCTCAGATGATAAATGGTAAAGTGTAAATAATATATGTTTAAATAACATAAGTAATCTTTATTTTTGCTTTTGACAAATGAATGAAATACTTTGTGATTACTCGAATACAATTTACAAGTGAATGTTTCAGAATTTGAAAAATTTCTAACCATTTCTAAGCCAGTGAAAATTTTATAAGCCTTTAGGCATTTCGGTTGAATGGTTTGAATGATGTTAATTGAAAGTTTTTGCATAAATCTGCAGTAATATAATGTAAAAAGTGTGAAAATACTTTTTATTAAAATAATGTTGGAGCTCCGAAATAACTTTATAATATAAAAATATTTATATAACTAAAGTATCGTTGTGTTATTGATATTTTTGTCAAGGACATTATTTGTCTCAAATTTTTAGACAATTTTTAGACATTTCAAATTTTTGGTAAAATGATAAGAAATACGTTGTTTATGATTTTGATATATTATTTCAGTAACTATTATCCGGTCATTTATCATCCTTAGTTTATCGTGATCAGATGATTAATTGGTTACTTTATCATAATCAGTTCTCATCGAACGTCATCCAACTGGAAGGGAGTATATAACATTTAATTTATTACCTCAGGGATTCAATTTTCTGAACCATCATCTCAACAAGCAGTCTCAAATAACCTTCCCGAATCAATCAGTAAAGGCGAACAATCGAGCGATCGATTCAGTTGACTTATTTTGGTAACTGTATTATAATGTGGAAAAGAATAAATCTCTCCATTAAATCCTTCACCAAACAATTCGACTATGTCAAACCAAAGTTTTTTCCCAAAAGAAATCCCACAAAAAAAACGTCCACAACAAAGAATGCTCCATCTTAGCATCATCAAAATTTAAATTTAATATTAACAGCTAAAAGTCCTAAATTATTTATTGCTTAGACTAATGATATCATCAAAAGTTTGAAAATGGTATGACGCCTTGAGCGGAAAAATTGCATTCTTATGAAGACAGTATGAAGAAAAAGAAATGAGAAATTTTGCTTGCGTGATTAATCACATAAAAATAATTTTTGCTTGAGCGGAAAGATTGCATTCTTTTTTGTTTTTGCATATAAGAAAGGACTTGATGGCAGACTATAGTGACACTAAATTTAACTTTGAAGCAATTCTCTTCCTTTTTTCTGTTTCTTTAACTTTTATCTTTCAAATTCGTTATTTCCATATCCTATTACTTCTTACTTGCATTGAAAAAAAGGAGAAAAAAAAATCAGTTTTCTAATCTTTAATGAAAGGTTGAAATGTTGGAATAAATGAGGAAATTTAGAAATTATTAACAGAAAAAAATTACTTCCACAAAATTTGATAGAAATTTCTTGAAATTTTCTGGAACATAATACTAATTGAATAAAAGCACTTGTTCTATTTGAGATATCAATTTATCAATAAAATATAGAATTAAATTAGTATCAGAAAAAGGACAATAATAACAAATGCAATTTAATATGAGGGTGAAGTGGATGGAACAGTCCAATTATTGAGTAGCTGAGAGGATGCTCTGAACTAGGCTTAGGCTGCTATTACGAATTTTTTGAAAAAAACTTAGACAAAAGAAATCAGTCCCAAATAACATTTCAAATATCGCAGTCTTTGCAGTAATGTAAAATATCTATTTAAAATCAAAAAAATGATTAGAAAAAAAAATGAAACAACACGCACTGTTTGAAATAGCACAAAGCAATTTCACATACATTTAAAAAATTGAAATTTTACCTGGCACGTTCATTATGTTTTTAAAATATGCTTTATAAGAAATTAAAAAAGCTTTGAAATTCGTTATTTAAAAGATGCAAAATGATATGCTATAAATGAGCAAAAATATTCTATTTCATTCCTTATTTTATTTACCTTTTTTATTTTGATCAATAAGCTGTCATTAGCTCACGTCATTAGTTTACGTCATTTTCACTCTCTGCTAATAAGCACACTAAGGAATTTCATGTTGTTCGCTAAAGGACTTAAATTTACTTCAATAAAACTTACTTTAAACTAGCACTTAGAACGAATAATGTTAAAATGAAGCAGATTTTATAAAACATATAAAACAGTATTTTTTAAACTTCACTACATCTACTAAGTCTCTGTAAACAAGCAATAATCATTGCAATGCTTTGAAAGCAGACAAATCAGACGAAATTCCGAAAATTGATTTCACATCTTTAACGTTAAAATTAATTCTATGAACTTACAACTGATTACGACTTCGATCAATATTCCATCAATGATATCAATACTCGTAGTGATTAACTGCAAAATATTAGCAGAATTGATGTCATGGCGATACAACATCAAATGATCGGGTAATACAACATCAAAACCATATTTTGAATGCTGAAATTCAAAAGAAGTACAAAAGGTACTAGATAAAAATAAAATTTTAAAAATTGTTGGATAAATTGGAAAAATAAAATTTGTAAAAAAATTAAATGCACATTATTTGATTTCATTAATATTTTTGTTAACAAATATCGATTTAAAAAAATGTAAATCAATTTCAAAAAAACACATTGATATTATATTTGCGTAGGTGTGTTTGTTCTTTTCAAATCCTGAAATTAACAAAACAATCCAATGTAATTTGATATTCACAGATATTCCTTTAATCAATTGGAATTCTAATTTGCTCAATAGCGGCTAATCTGGAAATTACTTTAAACTTTAGCGAGGTATATTTTATAGAGCAAAAAATTTTTTGACTTTTAAGTAAATATTCTCATGACAGTAAAAATATAATATCAATACACTTTAGTTAATTTCCACTTGTTATTACTTTAATGACCAGTATGATTGATTATTCCGTTGAAAACTTTCTGCAGTAATCCGACGAAATGAAAACTAACAATTTTTTGGATGAATTTTATTGCTAATTCCCGAAGTTCTTTTAATGGAATTCTTTCGCTTTGTACAGCAATTTCTTCTCGAAATACTCCAGATTGAAATGAAATATTAATTTCGTTCATATTGCAATGAAATTTTCTAGCACTCTAAAAAAAGTTTATATTTTTAACGAAGCTAAAGAAAATTTCTAACTTTCGATCATTGAAATATCCTAGCAAAAATGGATGAAATTTAATCAAAGTTTAAAGGAGAAATGCTGAGAGCATGAAGAGGAATATCTTCTGAGGATATCAATTTCTATGCTACGGATTTCTTCCAGGAATGTATTTAATTCCCAGCTGTACTTAAGTAACTCATATTATTCGAAATTTTTTCTGTGTGAAAATTATTGAATTGATACTAAAGAAATGATTAATACTGTGTCTTAAAAATAAACCGTCATTGTTCAACTACAATTTCGATTTAAATTTCAAACAATTGAAGCATGAAAAAAAATTGCAGAAGAAGTTTTGATGCTATTCCAAAAAAGAAAAAAAGAACTTTTGTTACAAAGTACAAAAACACTCAAAATTAAAAAATCTAAGAAATGAAAAAATTATAAACAAAGCACTGAAACACTACTTTGCAATTCAATTTCTCTGTGATATTAGCATATTTTATCTAATAGGTAAAGATAAAACTTTAAAAAAAAGTGAAAAACACACTCGAAATAACTTGTAAGATTTGAATTTCAATGAGAAATACGTTTTGATGAGCGATGAAGAAATGTTTTCTAAATTGAAAAAAATGGATAGAATGCATTTTAAACAGAAATGAGAGATATTTATTTTCTGCGCGATATGTGAATGTGTATTCGCGATCTTTTTTTTGCATCACTGTCATTATAATCTTTTGCTGTTTACAATTATCTCTCATTTGCTTAATTAGTATTAATTAGTATGAAGAAGTGATAGTTACTTTTTAAAACAAACATGATGTGAAATGTCTATCGTAAAGATAGATCGGTTAAATATCGATTATAAAAATATATCTGATATTGAGCCAAATAAGCTTAAAATATCCAAATGTTTGATAGGTTGCTTAGTAAAGCATCCATCAGCGCAAATGAAATATTAAGCAAATGATTGAGCGCTGTCTTCATTTACATTCTCTTCGTACAATTACTTTAACGCTATTCGTTTTTTTTTTTCACTTAATTAATAAGTGAAATGTGTCACCAAAAAAATTCCTTCTGTTCATCTACTACGTAATTATTTTCTCATTCAATCTAAAAAGTAGATAAAAATATGAGTCAAACTAATTTATAGGAATTGCGAAGAAGCGATTAAAAATTGGTTTGACCATAAATTGTATCAATAGTTGATCTAATCACAGAAATCAATGATTCATCAATATTTGCTAGTAATTTATTTCTTTGAAAAAATAATCACATAATATGAAAAGTGCAACAAGTGAAATAATTTACAAACAATAATAAATTATTTCAAATTCATTATACATTTTTAAATTTCGAATTGCCACTGTCACCAATTTTATCAATCATACATTATAAAACTAAACATTGGAAGAGAATATGAAGCAATACATACAAGCAAAAAAAAGTACGAGGAGCAACTCAGTGATGTTATTGATCACAGTGTGCACTGATTCGAAGTGAGAGAAAGAAATAAGTTAAATTTAAACGAACAGACGGATCCTTAGCTGTCTATCCATCTTCCCTACTAATATTAATATTTTTCTTTGTCGCATTTCATTTAAAGGTTTCTTTATCGCAGTGATAATTAATTTATTCCGATATCATTTCACTATGAATAATGATAAGATAGCAAAATAACATTTAACTGCTTATCCATTTAGCAAAGAAATATTTTAAAAAAATTTCAAAAGCTCTAATCTGTCCATCTATGAAGAGCAAAAGCAACAAAAGGAATTAAACAAATAATATTCCTTTACATAATCTTTTTAAATTCATTACTACTACACTACTTTACATCATTTTTTTACAACAGAAATTTTTCAATGTAGATAAAATCTCCAAGAAAATTCAAATATTTCATTTCAAAAGAATTTGAAAATGACAAATTCTATCCGATCAGATGTTAACAAATTTTTTTTTTACTTTTTTACCATAAATTTTTTGAATTTACTACAAATTTTCATTAAAACAGTTAAAAGATGAGGAAATGCGAGTTACTAGATGCTACTTGCTATGCTAAATTTTTCAACAAAATACAGTTAGTTTTAGATTTAAAAAAAGGAGAAAATTTCATCGATCAATGTGATTATCTTTGTGATTATTTAATTAATAATTATTTAAAAAATAAGAATTGCGTAGTGACAACGGTGCTTTTATACAAAATCATTCATCCATTTTATATTTAGATTGAAATCGATATGTAATTTTGTCATTTTTTTTTCAATTATTAGTTAATAATTCATTTTCCTAAATGGATTTAAGCATTTATTTGTTTGAGTATTTTGGTTATATTACAGTAATCAGTTATTTAGCTAAACTAATTTGATAAATATTAAAATTTGATAGGCTATTGCTATTTAATTATTTGTTTCCTTTTATTTATTTTTTAGGCAGAAATGTTCCTCCAACAATTTCAACAACTAATTGTTTGTTATTTGTGTTTTGGTCTTTTTTTAAAAATTTCTGCAGCTAACATTTTATTTATCCCTCCTCATCTCATTTCTAACTTGTTCCATCTATTCTACTTAATTAATTGTATGGCTAACTTATTTCATTTATTCTATTTATTTGTACGGCTAACTTTTATTTTGTCCAGCCTAGCATATTCTTTCATCCTTTTCATATTGATTTCATTTTAAATTACTATTGCTGGCATTTTTCATTCATTTGCTACTGTGTAAACGGATCAGTAATGATTTATACATTTCGAAAACATTCAATCAACAGAATATTTAATATACAAAATTGGATGGATGATTATTCTCACTCTCACATAATAATATAATTTAATTCTTTTGCACTTTATTCAATCAAATAACTTTGCAAAGAAATAAATTACATCGAAGATAGAAATTTACTTCAAATGTTAATTTTTCAATGCATTTTTTCAACACTTCTCTGAAGCATTCAATTATCGTTGCTAAAGGAAGAGATTTTCATTATTACTAAACTTAAAGATAAATGAGAAAGAATGGAAGTTAGTAATGAAATTGCAAGAGAATGACCATTTAATGGAAATTAAAAAATGAATCAGTCCTTCTAAAAATAGTTCACGTCCACAATATTACTAAATTCAGAAATAAGTGAAAAAAGAAGAAAGTTAGCAATAAAATTTAAGAAAGGAATTGAAAAATAAAAATAATTTAATAAAACAGGTGTTGAAATTTAAGTTTTATAAGTTTAAATGAAATTTGAAACCTTATGAAGATAAGAATTGACGTTGATTTAATATTGCTCATCCACATGACGAATTCCATAAATTTTTTTCGTTCAATTTGGAAAAGTCAATAAAATTTTTTTTCTGTATTTGAATGCAATAAACTAGGAAACAGCCAAGCGATGTATGTCAGTGATAAATATTCTCTCATAATAAACTTATAGATGGAGAAGCTTCAACATTTCATGTATTTGCTTTACATTCATCTCTTTAAAATAATCAATTTGAATAAAAGCTATTATTTATAGACTTACAGAAAATGAAATATTCTCGATTGATACAACGCATGGAAATGAAAATGACGCGTTAGTTTGAAGTAAAATTGAGCGAAATTTTCATTCTCATATAGACGTCAAATAGTCCAGGAAGGCAATTAATTTTAAACGCTTTAAATGGAACAAAATGACACTCAACTTAAGGAAAGGCTACTGCATTCAGTTACAGACATCTCGTTCTTATTAATGAAATTTCAATTAGTTGGTATATGCAAAATATTAGGTGAAATTTTGCAAATACAGCTTTCCTAAGTGGAAAAAAGCAAAAAACGGATAACATTTAGATCCAAAAAATGAGAAATTTCGTTTTTTAAATTCGAAAAAATACATTTTTTAAATTTCGATGAATATCATTTTGAATTTTAAAAATATGTTAATTGTGAGCTTATAAAATTTTTCGCATAAATTGAAAATGTTTACCAATAATTCTAAAAATAAAACAGGAATTAGATGAAATGTAGGAAAGGCTTTAAAAATGAAAGTAAAATTACCAATTCAATGGTTTCAGTGTAATTTTTTTTTGTTTGGACACTACATGAGCCAATAAAAATAAATAGAATCATTAGCATTAATTTCTGATTTCTCAATTTCTCTCTCTCAACACTTAAAAAACATTTCCCAATAAGGGCGGATTTCATCGCAATTTAAAATTCATTCAATACCGAATGAATTAACTACGATGAAACAAAGCAAAAACAATTGCAATTAGAATTTTGAAAAAAGAAAGACGAAAGCATTTTTTTCAAGCAATCACTTCACAAACCATTTTTCTTTTACAGAAAAGTGAGGAAAAAATTTATATACAATTGCTTTTCATTTTGAATTATTTCAAAGAATGCTTTTTTTGATATTTAAAGTAAGCGATCGTATACCTTTTCAAAATTTATTCCTCAAAATTCCACAACGAACTTACTCGTTAAAAAATAAGAGATTTGCATTGAGCTTAAAATTTTCTGAAACAATTTTTATGATAAATGAACATCTCATAAATAAGTCATCGAA